TCTTGAAGCCCAAAAACAGCCTTAATCACAACATTCACACAACTTTGTTCTCACACCCAATCCATCGACATACTCAATACAAATACATATGCATTATTTAAACTATGATGTGAGACTCACAACATCAACTAGACTCATATACATGTGGTAACATATCATTAATAATTGGTTCACTCAAGAACCATGTTTACCCTGCTCGATCCCCAAATCCACCCTGTTCGGATTTGGGACAAGTCTCCAATAACATCACCATCATAACATCATCATCAACATCAACAACAACATCAAATATTCCACAATTCAATATATAATTAACTTAATACATAATTATATACAATATCCCTTAATTCACACACCATATCCAACCAAAATTATGCATATAAAACATAATCTTTCATTAATCACATAACAACACCAATTATCATAATCGATTTAATTATAACAATATATAATTATACTCAACAGAGTTCCCAAGGAACTTTAAACAACTCTACAACAATCCCTAAAACTCTAAAATAACTCTAAAGTTCTAAAAAATACTCTGCTGCCAACTCTTGTTTATTAAAATAGCTCTTATGAACTCAAATGATTATTCTAACAACTCTAGATAATAAATATATCCAACTAAACTCTAAAATATTATAATTTATAATATTAAATTATTATAATAATAATTATTATTAAGTAAAATAAAGCTCATCATATTTAAATTTAAACAACTCGAAAACAAGCCTCTAAATATGTCAAAGTTACTCAAAATAAATAAAAATATGACTCTAAAGTACTCTAAAATACTCAATTGACAACTCTTGAACAATTGAAAATGACTCAAAATAGTCAACTTAACTCTAAACTAATCAATAAAGTAACTCACTATTAACAAGGTAATAACCCTTAACACCAAGGCAATACCAACACAACTCTAAAACATATAAGAGTTACTCAAATAGTAACTCTGACAACTCTAAGGTGACAAATCTCTCTTGTCAACTTATCAACGTAACTCTAAAACTTATCAGAGTTTTTCAAAGGAAACTCTAAAACACATCAAACTACCAGTTATATTCTCATAACTCTAAACAACTCAAGACTATCCGGTAGAAATTCTAAACTCATCAACACCGCCCCAAAATCATTATTCCTACTAACCACACATCATATTCGAATAATTATTTAAAATATCAAACAGAGTCGGAATCAAACAAATGAATATGTTCCGAAAAGCTTAGAGAATCTAATTTAAGAATATAATTTTTATTTCAGGACTTAATACGTCAACCAGTTCAGTTTAATCAAACAACAAGGACGAGTACTCACATCGGGCATAATGTTTTGCCTGACTTCAAAATGACGCTAAAAATTATATACTTATGATAAAATTATGAAAATGTCTAGTTGAAAACATCATTAAACTCTCTTTCCAACGCAACTGAACTCACCCTAAACAGTCTCACGAGACTCTAGTTACACTTGAAACAAGCTGACCAACGCATGACTGAAATCACCAACATTTATAGTATAAAAACCAGAGAACTTCTACTGTTGTAGCACTCCTAGACCTAATTTCTTCACTTAGACATAAACATTATCGCTTTATTTTTCTAACTCAACTGACGGGGCCTCAAACAGACTTACAGAGCTTAAGATGTGCACAAAATAAGTCAATCAATACTCTCCTGCGTTTTCCTGCGATATCCTTACGGAAATTTCACTCATAAACCCAATTTCTTCTACCTATACCTATCTCCACTCTATTCTAAAAATGGATTATCATAACTAATTCATATACCCACAACTCATTTTTCCTATATTATTGATTTTTCGATTATCCTCTTATCATAACTAATTGTGTATATTTCAATGGATAGGAAAAAGGAAAAATCACATATATTCATAGGAATCCTAAAATCATCATAAAAAAACAGCACATAATCATCAAAACATTAGAAAATTCAAAAATAAAAAAAATCTCAATTTCCTTATTGGAGGTTAAGGACTCCTTATTCCAACCCTAATGCATATACCCGTTATTGAATCAATTCTTCCCCTTACTTGGTTATCATAGCAGTAGTGCATAAGAAATCTAGTTTTTGATTCTCCAATCCCTCCAAAGTTCTAAGCATTCTCTTGCACTTTCTCTAGTCTCTTTCTCTATTCTCCAATTTTGTTTCAACGTGCTGATGAGAAAAATTCTATAGGTTATACCCCTAATTATATACTTAGGATAAATATAGTAATAATTATAGAGTCACCTCTTACTTACTAACATTCTCACTCCTTCCTCCCCCTCTATTTCGCATAAATCATGATTTGGCCTCAAACCTTCTATTTTCCACTTAATCAAATAAAATACTATTATTTTAATTATTAAAATAAACTCTAATAATTTTAATTAAACTCTACTCGTCTCTAATTATCCTTTGCACCTTCATCTCAGGTTCACACACACCTATTGTCAATATTAATCTAATTATCGCAATTAATAATTAAATTAAAATACAAATAAACCCCAAATAGTCAAATAAAATAATAATTTAAAAAATAGGGTGTTGCATCTGGGCCGAAGAGGTATATTTCTTAATATTTCCTATTTTTTATATTTTAATCAAATTCAATTTGATTAAGATTGTTATATTTTCTTTTTAACAGGAACACGACTATTTGAAATATGTTAACCATGCCAGAAAGATTCACATGCTTCCTCAGCTTACGCAAGAGCGGTTCCTAAGTGTGTTCCGATACTCTGATCTAGCCGGTATGTGTTATTATGAGTACAACATCATCAACCATGGCATACAGGAGGAATTTGTTGAAGATGGCATAAGGAAACATCAACTTTCCACTTCCCCATTGACGAGATGACAATTACATTAGATATGTCGCTTGCCTCCTACACTTTTCCATCAAAGAGAGGTTACTTGATCATTCTAGGATCAACATGATGAGGTAGTGAATATGATGGTGATTTATTTAGGAGCTGACCCAATGGAAGCCCAAAATCAATGTGAGAACACCAAGGGTCACATGCCAAGTTTTCTTGGTTAGAGACGCTGTATCAAAATAACTTGGAGTTGGCCGACGATCCTGACGCCGGCGGTCTTCAACTTAGCTATCACAGGGAGTGTGCACTGAGGCATTTCTTCATATTCTAGGTTGACACATCCATGTTTATGGACAAACGTGCAACCTATGTGGATGTGGTACACCTCAAGTATTTCATCGACTTAGAGGCCATTCACGAGTGGAACTGAAGGGCCGCATGCTTGGTATACTTGTACTTCAAGCTGAATGAAGGTTCTCTTTAGAGGACAAAGCAAATAACAGGCTCCCGCACACTGCTGAGGTAATCTCCATAGCCATTATTAAGTTAAAAATAACTTTTTTCAAACTTGTTACTAATGTTTTTTTCTTATTCATTTTCAGGGACGGGTCCTTGCCCACTTTCATCGCATACACGAGTTTGATCGTATTCTAGAGTATACCAGGGATTATCCATGTGCTTGAAAGTTTCTCCCACACAGAGGGAATGGTGTTGTGGTACCCTTTCACATGTATGTTGACCGGAATCAACACGATGATATTGACTAGATTCCATACACTTCCCCCTAGGAGAGAATTCCATTCAACAATATTTCATTATACTCTGAATAGATGGCATGTGGGAGTAATATCATGTGCAAGTATCTTCCAGAGTGGTACATGCGGTAATTTAGGTACATGGAGATCATTTTAAGGTCCCCCTTCTAGGATGCTCTTGATAGCATTGTCCACAGACAACTGGATGACATTCTCGCAGATTTTAAGAGTCATCTGGTACCAAAAGAGTATCGGAGGATGGAAGCCACATCTTAGTGGAGTTATGATGAAAGTTCCATGACTTGGTTCTATTTTGTGTCACACCTTATCATGACACCATGCGCTCTTGGATGTCCATATAGGCCTTCTCATGGGGAGATCATAGAGAATGAGCATGCTATAGATGACCATGTTACTGATGTTTTGTCGATCTGTCAGAACATTATGCGAATGACAGGAGAGGGTATATAGTATTGGTTGTTTGAGAGAGGTGGCGATAAAGTGGTTTATCTAGCATGTTCCATTCTTATCGAGGCACAAAATTCCTTGGGTTACTGTAGGTAGATATGGAACCGAGGTGTTAGGATTATGCATACTTAGTAGATTATGCATTTGATTGTATTTTATGATATTTTGGTATATTTTTCCATACTTTGAGAATAATTTTTGTACTATGATTGTCTTTCTTTTTAATTAACACATTATTGTGTTCAATGTTATTCGTGTTTACTAGGGTATAATAAAAAAACATTAATAATTTATTGTATGCATTTTTAGACATCATTTGTGATCTTATTGTTTTGCAGATCTGATGTCGAGGATTTCTGCTGAGGGTTAGAGGTAGAGGTGGGAGAAGTTTTAGGGTGTTGGTTCGGGTACCAATAATCCCTAAAGTCACCTTGAAGGATTCATTGCCAAAGGGAATAAAAGGAAAGCCGAGGACCCAACTCCCGACTCTTCTAACGTGAAGGATTAAAGGCTAGAGAAAAGCCTTTCTCCTAATGGAGGGAAGACAAGTACTCAGGCACCCCCTACACGTGAAGCTCTAGAAACTTTATGGAGCAATGTTGTTTTAACACCTTTTGATTCAAGAGGTATCACCCCCTTGGTCCAAAGAGTTCCATGTTGATTACTAGGCCCTTCATTCTAGACTTACCTCAACCATTATTAACATGAAGGATAATCTATTATTGAGGGCACTCATGTTATAGGTGGCCGATCAAGAAAGGCGCGACAAAGATGAGAAAGAGTTGTAGGTGATGCTCCAAGAAGACAAGGAGAAATGGGAGGAGAAGACGACAAATGTAAAAGCTAAGGTCAAGGAAATATGTGATGAGAAGGAATCCCTATAAAAATCCCTGGATGTTGCTCTTCTTTGTGAAAATGAGTTGGAGAAAGCGGTTTCAGAGCTCACCGACAAGGCGATGTCTACTTATGTCATCTATTTTGAATGCGCTAAGGAGCGTGTTCTCTTCCTCTACCATAACCTGGATTTGATCTCCATGGTCTTTCTCAATGTCATTCATGGCAACAAGCTAGTGGATGAGGAAACAATGGCCTCTCTAGAGTTTGGGGATCCCTCCTCCCTCAAGATAACTCAGGGCGAGGGTGAGGTGAATGAGGGTAGCGATTCTGGAGATACTCAGCCAAATAGTGTTTTTGAGAAAGAAATACCTTAAGAGGAAAGATGATGGTTTGGTTTTCTTGGCCCCTAGTGGATTTATATTTCTTATACACTTTCGGGGAATTTTGTTGTATTTCTCTTCCCCTTCAGAGGCTTTTATAATTGTACTGAATAGTGGCATCCCTTGAGGGTGCCTTTTATGTTAACTTATCTTCTTGTTATCTTTTGTAATCATCTGTTTGATTTTAAACCTTTAGTGTTTGACTGTGGGTGTCTTTCATCATCGTCCCTCTTGTTATAACTTGACTGCTTGTGAGTGGATTCAACAAGGATTCATCCTTAAGGATATAACATTGTGGTTGCCTCTAAGGGAGGAAAAGATCCCTACTTAAGGATCCAACAATTTTTATCTCCTCTATGGACAACAAGGAATCCACTTAAGGATCCAACAATTTTTATCTCCTCTATGGCGGCAATGATCCCACTTAATGGTCCAACTATTTTAATTGCCTCTAGGGTAAACAATGATTTCACTTAAGGATTCGACTAAATTTATCGCCTTTATGGGCGACAAGGATCCAATAATTTTTTATCGCCTCTGTTGTACTCCAAAATTTGACCTCTCATTTCTCAAGACATTTCTCACAAAGATCTTCAATGGTTCAAGCTTACACAAGTATTGACTAGGTCAAGCCATCTCCTCAACACTAATGTCTCAAATTAGGGTTTGAATTTTCACAAGGAAAATTGGACTTATAATGCTTCAATTTACTTTCATGGATCATTATGGACCTTCAAGAATTCTCATATCAAGTTTCAAGTCTTGCATCTCAAAATTGCTCAGTCAATTGATCAGATGACCCCAAATCAACTATATTGGATAAAAAGTCAACTATGGTCAACCCATAGTCAAACTTTAAGTTTTTTTACCAATATCAACATTTTGAAGTTATATGTATCAATTGATCAAGTTTGGATCACAATTCCCCAAGAAAAATGTTCAAATCATCAAAAGGGCAAAATGGTCAAAATTAGGGTTTTTACTATATTTGACTGATAAAGAGTTTTTGACCTAATACATGATCTAATGGTTTGAAGCATTATCTTAAGGATTCAAATACAATGTCTTGACCTAATTTCATGGCTCAAATCATTTCTCAAGATCAATTGATTGCTAGTTGAAATTTGGTCAATTGATGAAAAAGTCAACTGATACAACAAAAGTCAAACTTTGACCTTTTGGTCAAGATTGAGTTTCAAAGATCACATTTCATAAATACATTAAAAAATATGAAACTTGATCATCAAGAAATCAATAAAGTCAAAATTCATTTTGAAAAGTCAAAGTTTTCAAGACTTTGAAAATTTTCTAAGTGTTTTAAGTCTTATTTTCATAACTTCATGTCAACTTTACACCAAGATGCAAGATGATTCAAAGAAAAATTTCAACATGATATCTACAACTTTTCTTCATTTACCAAGTCCTATAAATGCTTTGATTTTGAGTTATAAATTCATGAAGTCATGCACTTTTTCTAAAACACTTAGTGAAAATTTGACCTAGTTTAGGCAGATTTTTGACCTAATTTCTTGGCCAATTTTCACCAAGATCCAAGGGGATTTTGTCAAAATGTATAACATAAACATTGTAGATAATGCTTCAAGCTTTTCAAAATGTCTTAGAACTCAATGAGATCATTCTTTAACTAGGAGAATCGAAGAGTTAAAGTCAGGTTTTCAAACTTGAATTACAAGTCAATTTTGTGATGAACAAGAATTCAAATCTCTTAGCAATGCCTTGTAATCTTGCTTTGCAGGCATCTAAACCTCTAAATCTATCCATAATTAGTTTATTTCACAAGCTTTTGAGCTATTGTCCACTTGATCCAAGCATTATATAATACATTTTGTTGTTTTGAGAAGAAAGGCAAGACTTCTATTTTGGAAAAGCATGCTTTTGTAAAATGTCAACCCTTCTTAAGACTCCAACTTGTTCCCTCTGCACACTCTCCATCTAAAAGGTCAGAAGAAACATGTTTAAAGTGTCCAACCCTTCTACATGTTTGTACCTTCTACCTTGAAACCATATTTCTCACATTTCTTGAAAATCAAGCAACCTAGCCATAACCCTAGAACTCAGAAATCCTTTGGGCAAATCATCTCAAACCTTTTCTATACAAATATACAAGTCTATTGCAAGCAAGGACACTAATGAACAAACACTCAAACTCACTGAAAACTCAGATTGCACAAAAACTCCATTGTTGTGCAGAATCGGGCCAAATATTCCCATCTCCCAAACCACTCGTGTGTTTCCTCTCCAAATCATCTCAAAAGCCTCCTTACCTCAAATACAACTTATCCCAATCCCTATTTCCAAACTGTAACACCATTTTCACCATTGTCCAAACTCAAAAACAGAGTGCTACACATTGACTTCTCCAACACGATTTAGCCATCCTCAATCCAAACTAATCATTACATTAGCTTCCTAGAAGTTCAAGGAAGCTAACCAGATCATTACAACATCTTGAAAGCTGCTTAAACTCAAAACACGAATTCCATTTTCAAGGTGAGTTTTCTAACTTTTGAACTCTTCATATAGGCATCATTTGGTTTCCATTTGTGAAGACAAAATATAGACATCATAGCCCTGAAACTGACCATGTCCTTAGAATTCATTTATGTTTCCTGAGTAGTGAGAATTTTAGAGTTGAACTTTCTGAAAAAATTAGGTCAGATATGTACCATTCAAAATTCATGCTCATATTTGATTTATAGCTTTAGTTATTTATATTACTGAACTCGTGATGAAATTTGGAGCAAGTTTCATGTTTGTACTTTTGTAAATAGTTGAGAGATGAAGAAGTTACATGATTTAAATTCACGACTAGTTATGGCGCGAGGAAGAAGATGAAGTCATCTTCAGGAATATGTTTCAAATATATATTTATGATTTTGTTTATAACATCGGATGTATAGCCACCCCAGTGGAAGAGAGCGCATGCGTAAGGTCATATTGCTAAGGGTCTTGGGTTCGAGCCCCAGGGACGCCTTTTGTTATTTTTTCTAACATTTTTACTTGTTTCAAGCGTGTTTGGGCTTCCTCATTATGGGCTTGACTTTTTTGCTTTTCCTCACACTCTGTTTACTTCATAACACGCAACCCATTCTATATTTTTATTTATTTTTGTTTTATTTCTGACTACAAAAAGGGTTTGGGCCTAACCGAACCAAAAATCTGTTTTTACTTCTAAAGTTCCTAATTCACTTTTACACCCTCCTGACTTTTTAAATTTTCATTTTATTTTATTTTATTTTCTTTTATTTATTATTAATATTATTATTATTATTATTGTTATTATTATTATTATTATTATTATTATTATTATTATTATTATTATTATTATTATTATTATTATTATTATTATTATTATTATTATTATTATTATTATTATTATTATTATTATTACTAAAAAAACCAAAAATAGATTGTTTATTATTTAGATATTTAGTTTATTTTTATTTTTCTCTTAAACAAAAGACTAAAAACATTTTCTTAATAAATTTCTTATCTTAATTAACTAAATTAGACTCTTTTTTATTCTAATTTTTTATTTTTAATTAAATTAGAATTTATGGGTTTAATTAATTAACTTTTCTTCCATTCATTTTTAGTTTAACTAATTAGTTCAAAAACCTTTTCATAAGGAACCAAAATTGTTTTTTTAGATTAACTTAAGAAAAAAATACTCATTTTGGTTCCTTAACTATAGGTCATGGTTCACTTTGGTCCCTTATCTTTTTTTGTGCCAAAATGGTCCCTTAAGTTTCAAAATGCAACCACGTTAGTCCTTCCGTTAATTGGTCTCCAACATCCGTTTATTTGCGTGAAGTGGCAGGTGAACTAGCATATTTCTTCATCTTCTTTATATACAGAAAGCGTATTTCATATTGATTCAAAATCTCCTTCACAAAATTTTCTTAGCGTTCTCCTTCCAAAATTTTTTTGTACTTTCTTCATCTTCTTCCCTTTCTCCATGAATATGAAGCATTCATCTTCCCCAAAGAACCTCTTTCAATCTGAAAGTGTTGGATCATGTGTATACAGTAGCTCACGGATTGCACCACTTTGTCGTTGCAAAGACAACACTGTTCTTCATAGGGAAATCACTAAGAAGAATCATGGAAAGAAATTTTGGGGTTGTCACAATTACAAGGTAAGCCCTAATTATGGTTTGGGCACGTTAGAAGATCATAAACAGAGTTTGATCAATTTGTGAAATTTGCAGGGCTCCTTGCAAAGAGGATGTGACTTCTTCCATTGGTGTCACGAGGAATTGGCAGAAGACATAAACCAGGTATTGAGTAGTAGATTGGAAAGCATAGTAAAGGATTTAGATGAAACCAAGAATCAGTACGAAAAATTGAGGGTTAGAAATGAATAATTAGGGGATGCCGTGTTAGAACTTAAAATTCAACTCAACAAGATGTTAAAGTAGAAAAAAACATTGAAGATTCTGTGTTTTGTAGTGTTATGTGTATTTTTCATTAAGCTGTATTAGAAGTAGGAGTATGTAGCAATTTATGTGTAATTTTATCAGTTTTGGAAATTTATGTGCAAGCTTATTTGTAATTTTAAATCATGTTATCAGTTTAATAAGACTTATTTTGTTTGGCATATCATTAATCAAAGCATATCAGTTTGGCATGTCGTTAATTGTAGCAACATAATTTTGGGCATATTTTATCAGTAAATGAACACATCAGATTAGTTAAACTGAAAATACGTAGTTGGCATGTTACATAAGTATGTTCCAAAATACTGACATGTTACATAGACATGTTTCAAAAGGTTGACAAAATGACACGTTACATAGACATATTCCAAATTACATAAACCCTAAAATTATAACTAGATGGTCCTCTTTGACGTACTTCTCTTGGTTGGAGTAGATCATCTGGTGGTAGGACCAGTTGCATTCTTGGATGCTGAGAGTCTTGTTGTTGGTCCTGGGGGATACAAAGGGCCTTCTCACACCTAGTTTTTATAGTATTCTAGTTCTTCTATCTTTCTCCTTTGTGCCTTTACCTGGTACTGACTTTCCTTGTGAAGATTGAGTTGCACTCATGTAACCTTGTGCAACTGATACTTGTGTTACTGTAACCTGACTTACAGTGGTTTGAGATGCAGAAACTTTTATTGTCCCAATCCGACTTACATTTGTCCCAACGTGACTTGTATTTCCTTGCCTTACAGTGCCTTGTGTTTCCTTGCCTTGCCTTACCTTGCCTTGAAATGAATTGCCTTGTGTTGCACTGCCTTGAGTTGTGCTGCCTTGCCTTGCATTGCCTTGAGCTGAAGTGGTTTGAGTTGCATTGCCTTGTGTAGCATTGTTTTGAGTTGCATTGCCTTGAGCTGCAGTGGTTTGAGATGCATTTGCTTGCCTTACATTTCCTTGAGCTGCAGTGGTTTGAGATGCATTGGCTTGCCTTGCATTGCCTTAAGCTTCAGTGGTTTGAGATGCATTGGCTTGCCTTGCATTGCCTCGAGCTGCATTGGTTTGAGATGCATTGGCTTGACTTGCATTTCCTTGAGCTGCAGTGGTTTGAGATGCAGTGCCTTGTGTTGCATTGACTTTGCAGGTTTTCTTTTTATGTCCAGTTTTCTTGCGCCTTGAACACTTTAGAATAAAACCAATTCTTCTCAATTTTATGTCAGTGCCATCAATCTCCCCTCGCTCAAGGTTTCTCCTTTTTTTTGGTCTACCAGGAATCTTTCTAAACTTAGGTGGCTACACATCAGGATATTGAGTTTTGGCCCACAGATTGGATCCATTCACAGGGCATATACCTATATACTGCCTTGTACCTAGATACCCTATAATAATCTGGAATGTAATCATCAACTTTAAAATTCCTACTCTTCATGGCTGACATGGCATGGACACATGGAAGTCCTGTGAGTTCCCACATTCTGCAGGAGCACAAGTAATCCTTCAAGTTCACAGTGAATGTTTCAGTTGGGTTTTCCACATGCCTTACTTCAAACATATGCTCATTTGACATTCTGCATTTAACATTAACAATAACATTTAACAGTCTGCAATTAACAATTAACAATCTGCAATTAACAATTAACAGACCATACCTGACAAGCCATACGTTTGTGTAGGCACTTGTTATGTACATCTTCTTTCTAATGTTGGGAAAAATATCATTATCAGATATATCTTGGAACCTCATTATGTTTTTTGCCCATCTCTCCATCATGTAAGTTCTGATCTCCTCTAGCATTGTTACTAGTGGTTTAGCCCTAGCTTCAATAATAACACTATTAAATGCCTCTGACATATTGTTGAGCACAACATCACACTTGTTGGTAGTACTAAAATATGATCTAGACCAATATCTTAGTGGAGTCTTTATCATATGGAGATATGCCTCTCCACTGATCATTCTCATTACCCCCGTCTCTCTTTCCCAAGCTTGTGAGTATGTAGATTTAGCAGCCTTCCAGATAAGATCCTTGAATTTTTTCCAGGATACCTCTTCCTGAAATTTCTATACAGATGCCTAACACAAAATCGATGTTCAACATTGGGAAGCAACTCTTCCATTACAGGTAAAAGTCCATGTGAAATAGATTCATAACTAATAGTAAATTATCAAGAAAATAATCAGATAAATGTAAAGATTCTGTGAAGTATTTAGTGTACATTCTGTTGGTCTGAAATGGAAGTGTATGAGCGACATTTATGTCCACCCCCCAGATCATCAATATGTAGCTTCAAAAACCATGTCCAGCTATCTCTATTTTCACCTTTAACAACCGCAAGTGCTATGGTAAGTATCTGATCATTAGGATCCCTTCCTATAGGTGCCAGAATTTCACCTCCACAAATCCCCTTCAAAAAGCAACCATCCAATCCTATCACATGCCTACATAATTTGAAACTTTCCTTGCATCGTTCATAGCATATGTAAAGCCTTTTAAAAAGGGTCTCTGATCATCAACACCTTCTAGAGCAGGTTCAACATTCATCTTAAGTGTTGACCCTGAATTGGCTCTTAGCAGTTCATGACAATAGTCATATATCCTAGTGTAATCACCTAAAAAGGAACCATCAACCCTATTCCTTGCAGCCACTCTTGCTCTTATTGCTTTAGTCTTGTTTACACCTACATTCCACTTCCCCAATGCCTTTTCTTTAATATCTTGGACCTTCAACCTAGGGTTATTTTTCAATGCATTATGAATCCTCTTGCTCAACCACTTTATGCTTAACATCCTCACATTATACTCCCTGCTGCAGTTATGATCGTCAATTACTTTCCTTATTTTCCAGGTTTCCTCATTTAATAACTTGGCAATATAAACCTCCCACTCACAATCTTCCATACATCTCACCCTCACCCTTTTCTTATCATTTTTTATGATCTTGAAGGCTCTTCCATTTTGAACAGCATATGATGCAACTGCTTCCTTAATGTCATCCTTTAAAGTAAAATACATTCCTAATTCCCATTTGTAATTGGACATATCTTTTATCTCTTTGAAAATTAGGTATTTATTCCTTTTAACCCCACTACTGTCATCACTGTCACAACCACTTTGAAGATCCTCACTATCATTGTCACTCCCCTTATATTCCTCTATAACTTTGCCGCAATTTCCTTTTCCTTTTCCTTTTGATATTTCATTACTGTCATACAAAATCAGGTATGCAATTTCATTTTCATCAATGTCCTTATAACCATCAGATTCATCTTCAAAGGCTACTTCTAGGGCACTATCATACTGGTAACTCTCATCCTTACTATCATTAGAATTGGATTCTTCGTGCACCTGACCATCAGTATTTGGTTCCTGTTGTACCCCAAAATTTGCCCTCCCATATTCTTCAAGATTTTCCAAGAGCATGGTTCAAAATCTCTCAAGGATTGCACAGTCCAATTGCCTCCTAACACAGTCAAAATTAGGGTTTTGGTTCTGGAAAAGAAATTGAAGTTTCCAAGGGACCAATCAAGTCCCATATGCCCATAAACATTGTCAAGCATCCATATGTCAAGTTTCAAGACTCACAGCATCAAATTGCACAGTCAAAAACTCTAAATGCTTCACAGTCAACTGCAGGGGCAAAATGGTCATTTGACAGTCAAAAGTCGAAATTTTTGGTCAACATCTTATTTTGAAGCCACAAACATCATTTGATCAATTCTTGATCATGATTCTCAAGGCATGGCTCAAAAAGTCTCAAGATGCAAAAGTTTCCATTTTTGGACAGTTGAAAAAGTCAACTGCAAATTGACCAGGGCATAACTTCCTCATGGTTTATCAGAAAAATTCCATCCAAAGCTCATCTTGAATAGAATGACATTTCCTACAACTCATCTTCACACTTCAAGTCCAAGAAATTCTCTCACAAAAGGTTATCAATTTCAACATTATAGGTCATTTTCAAAAGTCAACAAAAAGGCATTTTAAGTCAAAGACCATAACTTGAGATTGGTGAATCAAAATGACACGGGACCAAAGACATTGGTTAGAGGACTTCAAGACCTTTCCAAAATGTCCAAGAACATGTTCATAGCTTCAAAATTGAGCAAGATATGCCTTGTAGAAGTTGGGAAATATTTGGGAATTTTGAAAAGTCAACTTTGCACAAAAGGCTTCAAAAATGCTAATGGGCCTCAATTTCTTTCATGAATCATTACCCAAAGGCTATGCACGACCCATTGACCTCAAAGGGAGTTATTTTCTTATTTTTGATTAAATATTTGAATTTTTATTATCATTAATTCATTTAATTAAAATTAAATATAAGAAAAATATCAAATAACACTTATCAAATCTTTTTGTGCAGGAAATTCACTCATTATGAGCTAAATATTTCGTGCATCAATCAACAAGGACAAAATCATCCATATTTGGCATAATTGGCATGGAAAAAGATTGGAAAAGATATGAACAAAATCAAATATTGGAATCATCAATACATGGACTTTGGGCTTGGCTTTTTGACCTAATTCCATTCAGATACATATGCATAACATAACCTAATCCTAATAGACACGAAATATTGCTCAGAAGCTGCATAACAAAATTGAAAATTTTCATCAAAAGTTGAAAACTGAAAACATAGCTACAAGGCGATTCAAGGTCCAAAAGCTTGTCCATTGTCTTCCTGACATTGCTAGGAACGTGTTGCAATCAAGAACCAATCTCCAGACCTCAAGAATTGGTATAACAAAGTCTCACTTTTCATAAACATATCCATTATCATGTTTTAATTTTCAAGCATTGTTCATGTGTTTTGTTAATTGATTTACACTAATATTGATATTCTGAAGCTAATGGTACCCTTTAATTGAACTAACAATGCCTATATCAAAATCTGCCATTAACGTTTTCTAGGTTTTCAGAGCTCCAAATTTAGGGGTTTTCACATATGGCAAAATTGAACCACCAAACCTATGCCATTGGATTCGTGACCTCAAGACAAGACCAACCAACACCTCGCGCCCTTTTTATGTTACAGCATGGGCTATTCGCTATTTTTATAGGTCTTGTTTAGTGGGGGTTTAAAACCCCCGCTATTTGTCTCATAATTGCAGGAAAGATGAGGAAGAAGATGGACGTGGCAGATGATGACTGGATCGTTTGAATAATGGCGCGTTTTTTCTTGTTGTATATCACTAATTTTTGTTTTCCTTTATATTATTCATGTTCCACTATGTTAACAAAGAAATGCGCTAGCCTGGATGGTTGTTGAGGTGGCTTGCAGGTACTGGGACCTGGGTTCGATTCCCAGGTCCCCCCATATTATTCATAATTTTTGTTATAACATGTTCCCATGCAGTTTCTATCCAGTGGTTCACCATACGCCTTCACATGCTGGCTTGCCACGTAATCAGGATGGCCAATCTGAAGGCTACAGGATGAGGACCATCATACGCCTGGGTCAACTGCTCCACACGTGATCCCTGAAAGTCAAAAAAGGGCTTGTTCTGTTGGGCCAAATTGCCTCCAATTAACCTCCCAAATGGGCCAGACACCCCCATGGTTTGCATCAATTTTTAATTTTTATTTGTTTTCTTTCTTAATTATATTAATTGTTTTAATTACTTTCTTTAATTTCATAAATTAATTTTCATAATATAAAACCAAAAAATCAAAAACTAAAAATATGTTTAATTAATATTTAATTCATCATTATTTTTTTTGTAAAATAAATTTTAACCATTAATTTAGTAAATTAGGTTTTAAAGCTTTAATGTTTTTCTTAATAAATTAAAATATGTAGAAATTAGGCTTTTTAACATTCATCCTTTCCTTAATAAATAATTTGTTTTCTTATTATCATTATTATTAATTACTAATTTATTTTGTAAATAAACATGCACATAAATTCTTTAGTAAATTAAGTTAAATTTTAACATTTTTCTCAAATAATTAAAAATAACTTAGAATTAGGGTTTCTTTTAATTTTAATTTTAATTTTCTTGTTTTCATTAAATACAAAAAACCTTAAAAAAAACATTTCTTTTCTTTAATAAAATAAATAATTAACTTTCTTATTTCAATTTAATTTCAAAAGGGTCCAACGCCCTCGAACGTTCTATTTCTATTCTTTT